CAGCCTGCCTCCGCGCAGCCCGCCCACATCATCGCAGACACTACAAAACGTACCATCCCTCGTACGCAACCCTAACCGCCTCGCCAGCGACGGCACCTCCTCGCCTCGCCGGCCACAGGTCCCCGACGCCCGCCGCTGGCTACGCCTGGCCGCGGCCACGCTGCGACCAACGCCTCGACCTCCTCATCGAGTCCGCGTGCCGCACCCGGATGACTTCACAGCGCTCGCCGCCGCGCTCCATGACGCAGGCTATCGCGTCGAGGTCGTCGTCTTGGCTGTGCCGAGGCCGCTCAGCAGACTGGGGATCCTAACGCGCTTCCACGAGAAGCTTCCCGAGGCGGGGAGCCGTGGGCTGCCAGTTCGCCTGACACCCATCAAGGTCCACGACGACTCGTACAACGGACTTTTGAACGCTGCGCAGTGGATCGATGAACATCCCGAGACGGTTGATCAGGTTCTTGTCGTGAGGAGGGGCAACCTCGTCGCCTTCTGCGATGCCAAGGAGCGTCCTGACGGGAAGTTGAAGGGCCAGGCAGCGGCGGCGATCGTCAGGGAAAGGGAGCGACCCTTGACAGACGTGGAGAAGAACACTGCCGCAGAGGATCTCGCCAAGCTGGAAAAGAGGGACACGGCACTGGCTCAGGAGCTGAGGAGCATGCTTGCACCCCTCCTGGCCGAAATCGATCCGTCAAGCCTACAGCAACTACTGCCCCTGGAGTTTCCCACCGAGAGATGTAGGCGGGATGCCACCCTTTGGCTGGGTAATAGTTGATGTCGAACTGATAACTGGCAAGCGTGAGCTTCGGAGATGTCTTCATCATGTTTAAGATACAATTGACGTCCTCGTCGACAATGAGAATCACCTCGCACCCGTACCGCATCATAACCTCGCCAAGTATCTGGGCAGGTTGCAATAGTATGCCACAGGCAGGTTTGCGTACAAATTGTCCCAGCTAACATGATACATTGTGCCGGTTCCCTAATTGCTTCGTCTTTTTTACTCATCTTGACCGTTTTTGCAACTTGGAGTGTCGCTGGACAGCATTGGCCGATGAGGACTGCTGCCGTCCCAATTTCTTCGCAAGCGGGACAATCGCCAAATGATGTCTGTTTACTGCTGAATGCTGGTTATGGCCCCTGAGATTGGACTTCTGATACCCCACATCCTCAGCCTTGCCTTGACTATCAGTAATGATGTTGCTTGGTTTGGGGCGCGTCGGCTTCTCACGGCGCGGCACAGCTTCGTCGTTCTTCTCGCAAGGAAACCTGGTCTCAGCATGTGACTTCAAAGGCCTAGCGAAAAACTGTGAGACAGTCTTCAAAGGTCTAGAAACTTCTCGCATGGTTCTGGGGCCTTGAAGTCGCGAGCTAGAATTGGCAGGCGTTGGCTGACTGGTCGGTAATATAGAGTCAATTGCCTCAGCTTGTGCTCCTTCGTGGAGATTCATATTCCTCTTGGAATCCGATTCTGCCATATTTTTGGGGCCAAGATCGGGAATCTCCTCGGGACATGGAAAGACCTTCTTATCCCCGTTCCAAGATTGCTCGACGCAGAGCTTCAGGTCGTCAAGCCGTTTCTCATGTTGCTCCATCGTGAACCAAGGGTGCTGGAGAGCCTGCGCCGAAGTCATTCTCTTCGAGGGATCAACCACCAGGCATCGTTGGAGGAACCTGACGCCGATTGTACTCAACGTTGTCTGCCTGTCATCAACAATGCATTTGATGCAATTGATGACCTGGTCCTGACTATATTGGTAAAGGCCTCCCATGTCTTCTGTCGCTTGACTGTTCAAGACAAATAGCATGATGACACCCATAGCCCACATATCTACCGGACAAGCATGGTTAGTGACTTGATTGATCACCTCTGGGGCTATGTATCGCTCGGTGCCGACTCGCGACATCAACCTAGTCGGCCCTTCGAAAGCAGAGTTGCCAAGGTCGCTGAGCGCAATGCGGTAGTCCGGGCTCGGTCGAATCACGAGAAGAATATTTTCTGGTTTCAGGTCCCGATGAACGATTCCGGATTTGTGTAGGCAGTGCACGCCATCCACGATTTGCTTCATGATCAATTTGACATCACCCTCCCGAAATGGTGGTCCATGCAGCTCTCGCCGCTGTACAAGGGAGAATAGATCACCACCTGTGGCCAGTTCAGTGAAGAAATACCTGAACTCTGTCAACCCTCGTAACTTTATCGAAGGAATCTCGACTGACAGTGTATGAGGCGAGTATATGGCATGGACGTAAGAGATAATGTTTGGATGGTGTAGTTGCTTGACTATGTCAATTTCTTGCTTCCACCGACGCAGGGTCGTGGCACCGTCGACGCGCATACGAAGTCGGTCAACATTCATGATCTTGCAAACCATTTGCCTTTTGGTGGCCACCTCAATGGCTAAGAAAACCCGCGCATGGGCGCCATTGCCGAGGGCGCGATCTGTGACGTTGAATCGGGCAGCGAAGAAGTCCATCTCCCGTTGTTGAATAGGGCTTGGGACGTAAAGCGGAACATAATCCTGCTTGAAGTGGAATGTCATACAAGGAATAAACTCGGAAACATTGGCGTCACGAGATGGCTGACCAGGAACAGTAATGACATCGCCATCGAGCAGGCAGTGGCCCGGTGTGATCCTCTTGGGGTCACCGATATGCTGTCCGTTGACGCGTATTCCGTTTAGAGACCTGCGATCGCGAACGTAGCATAGCGACGGATGGTACTCATCGAATGTGATGACGTAAAACTCGAAATGATCTCGAGAGTAGCCCTGATCATGCTGCTGACGGATGCGACTGTCAGGGTCAGAAACAGAGCCTATTTCGACGGCGCGACAATACCTACTCGCCGCGTCCATACTTCAGAAGTGATTCGGGATATATAGGTACCGTTTCTGAGTGTCATATGAGTTGGCTCCAAGCGCGTGACGCCAGATCTAGCCATGCTTACCCGTGTCATCCTGGCAACGGCGGCCAAGCTCCAGCTCTGCAATTCGGCCATCGCGTTCACATGACATTGACTCGGTGTCTTGGGCCATGATGCAAAGTTTTGATAGGAAACGAGGCCTTGCGAGAGAAAACAAGATTGCAGACGAGTTCTTTGGGGAACTCTAGCATTCCGAGTTCGACAAGAATCACTGCACACTTAGGTGATGGACATGGCAGTCGGGCTCTTTGCACCTGCAGAGATACACATGGGTCTCATTTCTCGCAATCGCAATAAGGGCAAGAACCTTCCTACCTATCCGAGGCAACACAGCAGCATCGTTGCCCTCTGGGGCAGGCGCCATACATCGTGACCCCCCTGAGTACTGATCTATGGAGTTTCAAAGGCAGGTGCGGGTTGTCGCACAGTGCCACACTGTAGAGCGTCACTGCGGGGTCGTGGTGGGCGTTCAGACGCACACGTGACGCTACAGGGCACCTGCCCTTCTCCCAATGGCATCTTAAGCTCCCGCAGAAGTTACGAGCTTCAGATATTCCTGATTCCTCACCAACAACTCTCGCCTCGGTCAACATGTAAGTGCCATTCCCCGCCACCCGTTTAGCTCCGCGCCGCACCGGCAACAGCTTGTACTTTGTCGGGGTAATTGGGTCTTCGCCACCGCGCCAATGTCCCCGACGATGTCTCTATTGCTGCGATGCGCGCGCGCGTGCGCAGCGGCGCATCAATTACATCACCCGTGACAAGTCGGCTAACACGCCCTTCCTCAGTCCAAGATGAGAGCCAAGTGGAGAAAGAAGCGAGTTCGTCGCCTCAAGCGCAAGAGAAGAAAGATGCGAGCCCGATCGTAAGTCAACACTCGTAGCGACGTTGTCGCTGCTTCGACACATGCCCAGTCACTAACTTCTCTTCAGCAAATAAACACCTCGCACATCACCTCGACCATGACCCCTCCTTCGAGATGACCACAAAAACGTCATGATCAGCGCTTGGAGCTGTGTGCGCCACATCACACCAAACCTCTACCACGGACCCCGGTCTGCCGCCTTTACGGGATGGCAATTCATTCGCATTCTCTTCATCCAGGATTCGGACGATGGGCCGACGGCCAGGCATAGGCAAGGGTGGCCTGCAGGACTCTAGTTGGTTGGGACGGGTTATCAGACACGGAGCGGAGACTACGACAATATTGGAAGGTCGAGTGAGGTAAACGAATAAGTCGACAACGACGAAACGAAGTGTTTATGGGTCATGAAGCATGCTGCTGGACGACCCTTACGAGGGATCTTGGACCAGAACGGCAATGACAATGAAAAAAGCAGTTTGCTTCAAATCAATCCTGCTCATCATGACAATCGTGTGACCGCGACATGTATGGCGTTGGCGTATTTTGGGTTTCAAACTGGGGGAGTTTTGTGAGGAAACCCCGCCCTACCCTTTGTCGCAGCACGGAGCGACCTCACCAAGCTCCCACATACCCCGCGTTCCACCGAGGTCATCTGTTTAAGACGAGTCATGCCTTGTTAGCTGCGAGCGTCATAACGACGTCAACAGACAACAGATGGGGAGATGAATGCCCGGCAGCTGCCTTTGCCAAGCTGTAAGTTGTCCACTCGAACGTTGATTTGGTTTTGGGCTGGCTCGATCGCGTGCATCGAACGAACCTTGTGTCCCTCTTCCGGCTGCCGCACGTGCCACTCGAAGCTAGCTTTGGCGGATGAAATCTTCACAGCACACCACAGTGGCCACACAGCGTTCGATACGAAAAATGATGTCGATTCGAGGCAGCTTGTGCCCACAGCTAGACTAAAACGCCTGATCCAACCCAGCCCCGTCCCCAAAGCCATATGCAATACAATCGCGCCAGTGACCCAGACGCCGCGCCCACACCAGCTCATGCTCGGCCCTCTTCCCAAATCGCGAGCTTACCTGCAGTGCCTCAAGCCTTCGGTTTGGCGGCCCTGAGCTTCCAGTTCTCCTTGAACGCTCCCGCCTGTGCCTCCAAGTCCTGCTGCGTGACGCGGTCCTCGATGCTCTCCATGACGCTCGTGATGGTCGAGATGTGGTTAGCCTCGGACTTGTCGTCGCGGAACCGCAGGATACGCCAGCGGCCCTCTTCGTCCTTGTGGCACTCGACAATGCGGTCGACGAGCGGGTCGCCGAGCCCCTTGAGCGTCTCCCACTCGTCCTCGCGAATGTGCACGTCGGCAAAGTACTCGTAGTTACCGCCGTCGCGTCCGCTGCCGAGGAAACTCCACAGCTCCGCCTTGGGCACGCTGTCGTAGTCGACAAAGGGCTCGTCGCTGCCGCCCTCAAACATGTCGACATCTTCGGGCTGCACGGTGGGGAAGTGCAGGCGCAGGCGGCAGTCGACCGTGTTCTCCTCGGGCGGCTTCCACTTGAGAATGTGGGTTATCGGTGCCGTGCTGGGTACTTTTGTGTGGACGCAGGTGAAGATGAGGCCGTCGTTGCCGTGCTTCAGGGTCGGCAGGACGACGTTGAAGATCTTGGGGATGCCATAGCTGAACTCCATCTGCTTCATGACGACATCGAAGGGCTGGAAGGCGCGTTCTTGGGGATAGTTGTCGAACAGCTTCGTGTAGGGGCGGATGATGCCGTCCTTGACATAGGCAATGCGCTTGTCGTAGCTCGCTGCATCAGGTTCTGGCCGTCCAGCACGAGGCAGTCAAAGATGAGGAAGCGAGGGACCTGCTTGCCATCCTCAAAGTCAAGCACCAGCTCGCCATCGATGATTGTGCGCGTGTGCCACCCTTGAACATCGTCCTTCATTGGGAAGTGAAGGTTGTGGTTTTCGACGCGCCAGTAATCATTCTTGCGGTCGATGAGGTACACCGTCTCGGCGCCGGCCTCTTCGGTTAGATAGAGGAGGTATCGAATGCCATCGGACTTTTCGCAGACAAAGTAACTGAGTGGAAGGTGGATGTCAGCTTAGTCTTCTCCGAGGGAATGTACTCTAGGGACGAGAAATGAAGCTTACTCTTGTCTGCGGAGCTCAGCGAGGTGCTTGCGGGCAAAGCTGACAGGTTGTGCGCCAGGGAAGCCAATCTGATTTCGCTGCAACAACTCTGCGACGTCTCTTCGAAGCTGCAAGGCAAAATCGCGCGGTGCTTTGATGCCGGGCTCCGCGATGGCCTTTATGGGCCCATCGACCGGCGGCGTGTGTTCGTTCGGCGCAGGGCCGTCCATGTTGTTCAGTGCGACAACTATGTGACACAAAGGAGGGAAAAGTAGCTGCTGTCGCGACGAGGGACGAAGACAGATGCGCGTCTGTCTTATCGATAAGACAAGGTTGAGTAAGGCAAAGTGGGGAGAGATGCGGCCCTTAAAGCTAGGTAGGTAAGGTGCCTGTAAAATCATCATTTAGTCATTTGTCCTGTGGAAAGTTCAGTGATCGAAAGGTATCCTTTGAGTTCATGGTTCGCCCTCTCTAGCACGAATGGCCCATCCGCCGTGCCATCCGATCCAGCCCTTTTCCAAAGGCCCTCGCAGGAACAGAACAACGATCGCCAGTCCCATGAGGCCAATCTTCGCACCCCCAACCCGTGTCCACCCACCTTCAGCGTAGAGCCTGTTTCCTATAGCTGCTCCTGACATTTGTCCGAGAAATCCACAGACTACGGAAGCAGAATTGACGCGGTTCATCGCTGTAGAGTCAATGCCAAAGGCGGCAACCCTGTTGGCCGTCTGAGACGTCTGCGTTCCCAGATCGATAGCGATCGCTTCAATGATGGGACCCGCGAAAGTCAGATTTCCAGCGAAGTGCTGATGATGACACCCACTAATGCAAACGTCTCACCTGCTATGGCAGAGAACCAGGGCAGAAATCTGTCCATGTAGATTCTGCCGTAGAATGGCCTAAGAACTATCGCAACAATGCCGATGAGCTTGAAGAGTCTGATCTGAAGAGATTGGTACTCATAAGGCGGAGAAGCCAGGTGGAAGGTTAATGTCGTCCAAAAACCAGAAAAGACGGCACTGGCGCAGTAAAGTTGGATATAAACCTGGAGCAGCAATGGTTCCGTGAATGTCATGTAGACCGTGCTGTAGAGCATGTGGAAATAAGTTTCGCCCTCAGGAGCCCTTGATGGGTAGTCTGGCATGAAGAAGTACAAGAAGACAAGGAGGAGATATTGAACGCCGAGCGCGACCAGTATATGCTTCTCCAGTGGCCGTAGTTGGCCGAGATTGCGGAGAGCAACCTACCCAGTAGGGACCCGAGAAGGATCCCAGAGGCGCCGATTTGTACTGCACTTGCACGTCGGTTGGACGGGACTTGGCCGCTGATGATGGGTATGACAAGCTGCGGGGTAACTGTAGTCATACCACAGATCATGCTGAGCGCCTGAAAGATTGGGAACGAGGAGGTCACGCAGAGGCCAATCCACTGAGCAACGATCAGCCTCACGCCGGAGAGGCTTTGGCGGTTAACCTTACCAAGGTAGCGGTGACACCCACCATGACCAGTATCAGTGGGCGAGGCTGAAGCCAGTAGCCGATGGGACAGATGGAGAACAGACCGACAGCATAGCCAGACTGCATCAGCGTCGCCACGGTTGATGCCGTTTCGAAGTCGACATTAAGTCTCCTGCAATCTTGTCCAAAACAGGCTGGTTGTAGTACAAGTTGGCCACGGTGAACAAGGCAGTCTATGGCTTCATCAGTCACAGGCTCAGATCGCCTTAACGAGTTGTCTTAGTGGAACCTACTGAAGAGAACAGTAAGTTGAGTCGTATGGTGAATGACGGGTCATGCTCAGAATCATAGCGACAACGATGACCTTTCCACTGCAGGAATTTGGCAGCTTCGTAAAAAGATGAGCAAACTCTCATTTTGACTCCTAACCTTGGAGTAGAAATGCCTAATGATTGATCAGACTGATCATGAAAGATACTTGTAAGGATGTGTTTCCTATGATGAACTTCTATTAAGCCTGGATGTGTCAATGAAAGGATGAGGACGCCTTACTTAGCCTAATCTACTATACTTTTATACTCGCGGTTTCAGGTCCATAATATTCGTCGCGATGGGGCAAGGCCTCTGTTATAATCAAGGTGCTTGCTTACATGTTGTAATTCCTTTCACACTGATGAAGCGTCAAGCTGCCTGTTGGCAGGATTGAACCACACGCCTACGCCTTGAATTTACCAACAAGCACAACAAAACCTCGTCCGCGTTCATGAAGTCTTTATTTAACCACTGCCTGCCAGTGTTCGTTCTACTCATCAAACACTGCATTCGGTGTCCCCTCTTCTGGTTTCATCCTGCTTTGGTGTCGACTTGTTTCACAGTCCAAATCAAAACACAAAGCACTTCTTGGACAAGTCGGTGTTGTCATCCCGAGACCAGAGACGTGATGTCAGAAAGTCAAGGAACCGCGTATTGCAACGTGTAAGGTCTTGAAAAGGCTAGGTGTAGTAGGAGGTCATTTCCCTGGCGTAAGCTTGATACCGATCATCTGAGTGGGGGACGCATCGGCGCGCGTATGGTCGCTTGCTTAGTTAGAAAATGGTCGATGGCTCATCAGCGCTCTCATGCTGGAAGTCGACGAAATTTGTCAAGCCCTGGGTTTGGTCCATCCTATTCGACTGGCAGCATACCCTAGAGAAGGTTCAGGAATAAGGGTCCTGCGCTCGGCTCCTGCATTTGTTCCGCGAGTTAGAAAACGCGATCGCGTACACCAAGACTAACAAGATGTCAAAGAACCCGAGCGTCTACTGCTTGCGCAATATGCTTGATGTTGGCCAATCAACCCTACTAAGATAGGCCACTTCCAGGAACTGCTGGATTCCGTCGGACGGAAAAATACTGCAATTATGCTCGGGAGAAAAATGGCCGAGCAACAAGCTCCGTTCCCCATACCCCGCATATCGGGCTCCGGCTTGGCGATCAACGGGTTTCCCCCGCAATGCCATAACCAGAAAGGGCCGTATCGAAGGACCACGATCCAGAGCTGAATTCCGGACGAAAGGGGCTTTCCGTTTCCACGGGAAATTACAACGATTTTCAGATGATTGTAATGAACATACGGTCGAGGGACCATCCGTCTCGTCGACTTCCTGTGCCTCTCGGATCTTAGTACGACTCGGTAGTTTGAGATGCCTTCAGTCCTTGCTTGTATTTTGAGCATTTTGCTAGCAACGCAGCACGGGATCCTGGGTCAAACGGTCCCAGCATCGCCGCATCTGCTAGCTGAGCTTGACTATGGCTCGTTTCAAGGCGCGTACTCGGAGGAGTTCAATATCTCTTACTGGCAAAAGATTCCATTCGCCGCGCCCCCTACTGGCGTAAATCGCTTCCGAGGACCTCAACCTCCGGCTCCTGTGACAGAGAAGCCGTACAACTCAAGCCAATTCTTCGAGATGTGCCCTCAGCGAACAGTATGACTTGTCAGCGTGCCAGGGGGTGTCTTCTCCAAACAGTCAAGGCTGACTCTTGCGAACAGGTCAACGGCTCAGAAGACTGTCTATATCTAGGTCTTTACTCGCGCCCCTGGACGAAGGACCAACCACTTAAGCCAGTGGTCGTCACCTTCTATGGCGGTGGATTTGCTCAGGGTTCTGCGTTTTTCAGGTTGCCACCTCCGGGGTTCCCTTACAAGACCAATGCGCCTCCGCCGTCAGACATGATCTTTGCTTATCCCACTTTGAATGTCTCTTCCGCCTCGGACATGATCATTGTCTACCCGAATTATCGCACCAACGCTTTTGGTTTCCTACCCGGAAAACGGATAGCCGACGACCCTCTCTCTGATCTGAACCCTGGACTCCTGGACCAGGAGGCAGCCCTCAAGTGGACCAAGGCGAATATTGCCAAGTTCGGTGGAAACCCTGATGATATCACCATATGGGGTCAGTCAGCTGGTGGCGGTAGTGTACTCGCGCAGACAATCGGGCGCAGCGGCAAGCAGAAACTGTTCCACCGGGCCATGGCCAATAGCCCGTTCTGGCCAAAAGTCTACCAGTACGACAGTCCTGAGGCCGAGACGCTCTATGAGGAGCTCGCGAACCGCACAGGCTGTGCGGGAGTAGACAGCCTAGCCTGTCTGAAGCGAGCGGATGTGCAGACGATCCGTGATGCGAGCCTGAAGATTTCGGGCCTGCTCAAATACACAACGTCTGCATTCAATTGGGCCCCAGTCATTGATGGCAAGTTTCTAACAGAGTCATTGTCGGAAGCCACGTCTTCGACTACCGTTGAGAGAGCCTTTGCGATGCACAATACACACGAAGGCGAAAGCTTCATCCCCCCGAGCCTCCAGGGTGCGGCGAATGAGACGGCCTTTGATCAGTGGCTTCGCGGATTTCTGCCTCACTTCAGCGACTGCGAGATCGCCGCCGTGAAGAGGCATTACCCAGCTGAAGGAACTGCAGAGGCCATTAACTACGACAGCACCTGGGTGCGTGCGGGTCTAGTATACAGAGATAATGTGTTGTCATGTCCCGCCTTCTGGTTCACAAACGCGGCTGCACAGGGCTACCTGGGCGAGTATTCGCTAACACCCTCGCTTCACGCAAGTGACACCTTCTGGGTGCGCCATCTATGAGCTCCAATTAAGGACCATACTGACACGAAATAGTGGAATCGAATTAATGCCACGCAACTCCAGAAGCCCTCTTATTATCGAGGCTATGCCGGTCAGTCAAGCGAAGTTTAGGCTACGGAGCGCAATGCTGACCGTAATACAGGCGCCATCGCGTCCTTCCTGATGAAAGGGGACCCAAATGCTCTGAAGCTCACACCAGACGACGTAGCCGGCGTGCCGATCATTCAAGATGGTCGCGAATGGGTCATTACTCAGAACGGCTTTGGGACAGCAGACTCGAAGCGTCTGGCAAGCCGCTGTGCCTTCTGGCGAAAAACTTCAAGACGGATACCAGTTTGAAAAGGACTATTGCATAATTAGGGCCCAATGCTTGCTGACATCCGGGCGAGCGGCTCGCAGAATCGCGATACGGCCCTAGAAGCAATATGTAGAGCTCACTCAACATCAAAATCAGTCCTGATCATGGGTGAGCATAGGACGAAAGCTATTGTTTCCGCACATAACGATTCAAACTGAGTGTTCAAATCCTCCCCTGACGATTGCTAGCTTGCCACCACGCGTTAAAAGAACGTCGCCTTGTACCATCGCAGAAATGGGAACTGAATCCCCAGAAAACCAATCGTAGGGAACAAAGAAATGGCGGGTAACATCGGGCGGCGGAAGCTCCTGGTCGTATGTACCTGGCAGTAGTGACCCATCGATGATCGTGGAGCAGACCCAAGAAGCGTGATCAAGATAAATTAGGTTACCACGCCTATCAAACCCGATGATGTGGGCGATGTTGAACGCTGGACTCAGAATTTTAGGCCTGAGAGGGGGATCTGACTGTCCAAAAGCTTCAATGCTGAGGCTTTGTGAAACAATGGCCACGACATCCTGGGTTCTGGACCTATTGTCCTCATGTGCGAGCTCTAGCAAGACCAAGGAACTCCTATCAAGTCCGCAAGTCATGACATTGCGGAGCTCTAAAGTACTTTCGCCCAGCTGTAACGGAAGGGAATTGACCAGCGATAGGTCTGCCCATCTGTAGATGCCTAGCTCGGTAGCCTCGATACAGATCAAGTGTTGTTGAGATTGCGGGTGGGGCAGCCATTTGCGGGCGCCTAAGATCATCTGATGAGGCCGCACGCTTTCTTGCTTTCCCCCATCCAGAGAGATCAGATGGCTGGCCTCGCGTGTCAATACTAGAAGCTTGTTCGCTGTCTCTCCGACCAGGACATCGACGATAGCCCAGCCACCACTCTGCACGCGAAACTCAAGCATAGGCGTGGCTGGGCCTGTCCAGGTATCACCAGCGGCTTTTGTGAACCTGTGCAACAAGATACAGTTGGCAACATCAACGCTTAGGAGAGCCTCCAACTGATTGCACCATGCTATAAGACGAATGGACGCCTGGTGATCACAAAGCATGCACAAAGGCTCTGCTTTCGTCCGGTCATACACCATGACTTCACCATTGTTCTTGCCTGCGAAGATGATCTCACCCGAGGGGTGGGGGACTAAGGATGTAATTCGACCTTCAGTTGCTGAATCAGGACGCTCAGCAGATGACAACGTCGTGCCGAGGGCACTGTCGTTCTTTGAAATGTCTTGCAGCACGGTCGCCGGCTCCCAGATTGTGCACTGCGAGCTTCTGATGTCGGATAAAAGCAGACCATCCCTGGCAAAACTGAGTTGCTTTATGTACGAGTTATAGCCCTTAAGTCGATACAGTAATTTGAGTGTCTTAAATTCAAACAGGTCGATAATGCCCTGCGTGTCACCGGCTGCCAGGAGGCGTCCATCAGGGCTCGCGGCGAGAGACTGGCAATGCTTACGAATGCATCCCAGCTGTTGGTTTGCAAATGGGTCAATAATGGCAAGTTCGCCATCAAAATAAGAGACGGCAAGCAGTAAAATATCGGGATCTGGGTTGAAGATCATGGCATCGACGGGGCAAGTACTTGTCTCTCCAATCCCATTCGACTTTCCACAGCTGCCAGCATATGCATCCTCGTTCATATCCCACAAAGTGATGGGATGATTAATGTAGGAGGCAGCAATCATCTGATGATTGACCGATAATGCGAGTGCACGTGGAACCTGGCGGGGTGGTGCGCGGTGCAACCCTGGTGTATTGCTCCATGGACTCTGAGTCGGCTCTTCTTGTATGTCATTGTGGCCCAAATCCCAAGATGCCACGTAGTTTCTCTCGCTGGCGACGTAGAGCGTCCCTTCATCCCAGGTCATCTCGACTGGTCGGGGAGGGCATTTGAGACTCTTCACTAGGTTGCCGCTTCTGATATCCCAGACCTTGAGCATTCTCATGCTTAAGGTTATCAGAAAGTTGAGTTTTGCCATGAATCCAATGGATTTGAGTGACTCTCCATGGTCTATCGTCTTGTATTCCTGGAAAGAAGTGGCATGGTACATCATGACATGTCCCGAGTCAAGACCGACTGCCATGTACTCATCCCCATGATACAAAGCGCTCGGATGGCCTTGACTGAAGTCAAGGCCTAGAATCTTATCATCCCAATGTTCATCAGCAGCTCCAAGAACGGAGACCCTCCGAGTCTGCCCGCTGGTCTGAAAGACTCTAGAACTGGTCGGGCAGAACGGGGGTATCAACGAATACACCGCTGATGGGGCAATTGCTAGAGCATTGGCGAACAGAGCGAGAAGTCTATTCAGATCTATGACCCATTGCTGAAGGACGCGTAAATGAGTGTTATCGCCTGTCGTTTCAGCTTTGCCAGCTCTGATGTAGGTTGCGAGGTGTCCGGACGTTTGGGTAAGCTGGGTGAGATTCTTAGCCTCGGCAACAGCCTCTATCCAGCTTAGAACATTAGACTCGAAGAACGTGGATGCTAGATGCAATGGCTCGGGGGCCAAGGCGTCTGCTCTGGAGAGGTGGTGCGAGTACGCGGCGCATGCGTAGAGGGAGAACTCCTGTCGCGACCTCTGAACCTGCGCAAATGTACGTCGCCGGTTGGTCCGGGGGGGCTTCATTTCATCTCCGGCGAGGTATCTCAGGCACATTTGGGCCATACGGGTATGAGCCTTGGTCTTGTCGATGGCAAATTCGGAATCCAGACCGTCGCTCAGAAGGAACTCGCGTGCTGTCTCGTGTACCATTTGCACCCTCTGAAACATATCGACGACCACAAGTTGCCCGCATAATGCGGTGATGCTCTCTTCCAGTCGTGGAAAAGAGTCATTGAGATCCAAAGCAAGTGCGTCGTTGAGTTCGCCAACTGTGAGGGGTCGAACTGCACAGGTGACCCACATGAGTATGGCTTTCGCCAGTGCCCTTCCTCTCGTGAGCTGTGACATGGAGGCCAATGTTCGCTTATACACTGACTCCATTCCTCTCGGTGTGTCTTCAAGTACTTGGTTGACTTCTTGCGTGCTGTGACAATGTAGCAATTCCTTAAGCACCAAAATCGTCCACAGAAACGACCCTCGTGACTTGTCAAGTATGCTCTCTGCCAAAGCCGTACGATCTTCCGGCTTCACAACCCTCAAGGCCTGAGTGCTGCGCTCAATAAGAAGTATGGAATCTTTGCGCGTCTCTGATATTGTGACTGCCAGTGATGGCAGTGGCTGAAATTCAAGTGAGGACAAACGCTGGTCCACGTCGGCAGTGTCTCGGCTTGTAATAAGGATTCTCAAGGGGACGGTACTCTCAATCTTTGAGAAAAGACCCTTGAAAACCGTTGGTTCGCTTGAGCATTCATCAGCCGCATCAATGACCCAGTGATGCCTGGCCATTTTATCATTGAGTACGCCAGGCGAGAAGAGAATCCTCCAAAGATGACCCTCGTCTGCATGATCCAATCGAACACCGTCAGCCTGCATCTCCAAAATAGCGTTGGCGACGGTGTCGTCACAGCAAGCCATCTGGAAAGCCAGCGTACGGAGACATCGGTTCAAGCTGGCTTTTGAAGCATCGCCCTGCTTGAAGAAGAAGTAGCTGCAGTGACGGCCAGACTCCTTCAGACTTTCGATTACATAGCCAGCAAGGATGGACTTGCCAGCGCCCGGGCTGCCTTTGACCCACAGAGTCCTCTCAGCCCCCGAGTCTCCGTCTTGCCATATCACATACTTGGGCTTGGTCGAGATCCATTGACAGGTGTTTTTCAAGCGAGACTCGCAGACACTAAGGAAGTCATCGTCAATAATATCGGAAATGTCCAGATATGTCTTGAGGTCGCGGATTCTGTTGCGCATCTCTTGTTTCTTCTGCTCAGGAACAACAGTGGCTAGTCGATCTACAGTCATGGCAAGCGCATTTCGCAGGGTAGTGTAGGTGACGTCCATTGACGAGTCGAACTTGCAAATTGATCGATGATCAGCGTTCATGGGCACTTGATGCTCCCCGCTATACCCCAGAACTGCCGATTCCGGATCGACGATCAAACTGTTGAAAAGCCTCATGTTCTGGGTTTCATAGAATGACCAGAGCTCGAGGCCAGACGAGTAGTGTCGAAACTCGTCATTGATGATCTGGATAGCGGACGAGTTTCGCTCCAAGTCTCCGACATAGGCTCGGTCGTAAGCAACCTTGAGGATACTCCTCAGTGTCGTCGCCGAGTCGGCGCCGCGATGCGGCGTCGCGAGAAAGTAAATAGTGCTGAAGCGACTGGCTAGTGATTGCTGCGTTATGTCTTGCTTGGCCAAAAGATATGCTTTCTTGATTACCAGGCCTCCCATACTATGACCGATGGCAACAATGCGTGTGTCAGAATTGGCCAGAAATGGCGATGTACTGATGGCGGCAAGCAGCGATTTGCCAATGTGGTGAACGTTCAGGCAATCTTCTCTGCCTTTGAGATAGTCCGAATCATATCCATAACTATGAACGCGAACATGCTTAAAGGCGGCATCCTTGGACAGCCACTCCTGGGGCCAGTAATGAGATTGGAGGCCTGACTTGCTCCAGGTTTTTCTCGAACCTCCTCCGAGGCCGTGGACAAAGATGAAGTCAACTTTGGGTGCCGAGGGCTCATGAAGGACATTCAAGCCTAGTGGTCCCTTTGTGGCATTCGCGCGAATATGCGATGAGTCAACTGATGCTTGAGAAGAGGCTCTGGAGAAGAAGAAATCCCTTGTCGAGCTTGCAATCAAGCTACGGTGACCCGAAGAGACCGAGATAGGGGCATCGGTGTCTGTATGACGCTGTCGTCGAAAAATCTGTGGCGGCGAACGTGGTCAGCATAAGATTTGTCTGGATCGGGAAAGCAAGCTTGGTGTGTTGACTCGTAGGCACCCCATCTCAGCACTATGTAGGTACCTAGATAGGGAGGGTGGAGCGACTGGTTACCTGGACCATGATTTTCAGCCTTCACGAGGGTGAGGACAAGTCGAACGTTGGCTGGCATGAATCCGCTATGTGCTATTACTACATGTTGTTCTCAGCTCTATCGACGAAGTCAATATTTTAAGAGAGATGAGGGGAACGAAGGTAGTGTTGGTGATGCTGCTCGGTGACTGAGGTAGGGATCACCCCACTTGCATCCCGGCGCCTCTCTACCTACCGTTCTATCTTCAGCAGCGCTTCGTGTCACATTATCTCCAACAGAGCCAATCAAGGTGGAACAGCAAGCGACCTTGTGCGTCAACCTGCAACCCTGCATGCATGAGTCCCAACCGCCATTCTACAAGAGTCAAAAATAGTTTAATGGCGAAGATTGGTGTTAGGGCCAGCTCCTGCTGGCCTCCGCTCGAGTTTTGCGCGTCGTGCTCTACCGAGTTTGACGCCTCAAATGGCTTTTATTCAGTGTTAATGGCTTCGTCTAGGTCAGATCGCTCGCAGTCGCCGCTGCCTCGATCACGACCGCATCATTCATACGCCGCAATTCCGCAGACCCTCTCGATGCAATGGGTGGAGAATCAGAAGCCAAACGGGCAAGAAACAAGGTCTTCAACCCCCTGATGTCGAGTATAGCAACGCAAAGGGCCTCTGGGCTTTTTTTCCCATCCTCAAAATCAAAAACGCGCATGTACAATTGCTCATGAAAACGCTCAACTTTCGTCGATCTTGTCGATCTCGGCCTTGGCCTCCTTCCAGGTCTCCTGGTTCTTCTTCGCCCATTCAATCTGACTCTTCGCGTACGCCAACTGGGAAAACTCGTCAGTATATAGGATAGACAACACACGTGAGCCCAGGAACTTACCATGTAGCGGCGAAGATCTTCTTCCTTGTCCGCCTGGAACCTCTTGAGGTCCGTCAGGATGCTGAGACTGGCATCCTGCACGTCGTGCTCGGACGCAACCTGTGCCTGCTGCAGCTGCTCAATGCTCTCCCGTGTCTTACCGATAAGGTCGCGACGGGTTCTCTCGGGATCGACGTCCGCGACACCCTGGATGGCGTGGCGGATGGGACCAAAGATCTTGTTGGTGATCGAGTTGTTGCTCTGTACCTTTCTATGGCCGGGGCTTGAGTTGCTTCTCTGCGGGATACCTTGACTTGCCGAAGGAGCCGGTTCGCCGTGTGTTGGAGGGAAGTCGGAATCAATCGAGGCTGTGTCCTCAGTCTCCCTTGAGTACTGTGGCGAGGTGCCCGTCTCTCTAAGACTGGTCGATCGCTTGGGCGGAGGCGTGTGCACCTGACTGCTGTTAAGGTATTGCTCGATGCGCCTCGACTCAGCTTCGCTCCGCTCAAGCTCCTCCAGCTGCGCCTTCTTTCTGTTCAGCTCATCATTCGTCTGCTCCTGCTGAATACGCTTCAACTGGCGGTACTTGAGTACATTCCGGACAACTCCGGCGAATTGCGCACTCTCGCGCATCGGCTCTGCAAAACTAGCTCCTAGGGAACCCGCAAGCTCCTCTGTCGCAATGTAGGAAGAGTCAGCGGCCTGGCCGACCCTCTCGATGGCTGGACCGAGCGTGGCTGACGGCTCTGACAGGGCAAAACCGTTGAAGCGGGAGCCGAGATCGCACAGGTCGGCAGCCAGAGACTGCAGATGGCTGACAGTTCGGCGGTTGACCTTTTCCATCGGACCTGTGAGGAGTGACTCGAGGTCCTTGCTGGAAGCTTCAAATGCATTAAAGTAAGGATCAAGCTGCTCCTCGGTGAGGTTGCTGTTGTCGGGCGGGAAACGGCCATGGGGAGTTCCCTGTCCATAAGACGACGAGGGGTCGGTGTGACCTCCGCCAGCCTTGAGTTTGGCTGAGCTCGAGGGCACAGGGAGATAGCTGTGGGCGGCAGAAGCGTTGGCGGGATCCAGGGGCGGGGCCCTCAGGACCGACTTCGGGATGGACGAGATGGGATGTGAGTTGAGGACCTCACTCTGTCTCGATGTTAGCTTCAAGACTCAAGCGGCCCGTCTATGCACGGAGCAGAAACATACCCAGCTAGCGTTAGGGTCAAGGAACCGCCACCAGACACCGTCTTCTCTGACTTCGTTCATGACGCGGCAGCGGTTTAGGAACACGGCTAGCATGCGCTTTCGCAGGTCGATGATCTGCTGATCCTGCTTCGCGTGGATCCACCAC